GAATTTCCATAGACACTCATATACATGAAACCAATAAAAAAATGTTCTCACCTTGGACATTTTTTCTTTCATAAGTAAATTATAAATAAATTTTGATGAAACATATATAAAATAATTAAAATTGTTTATGAATATAATATATTATGTATGTATAATAATAAAATTTATGTATATAACTTGTTAGTTCGGTTCGGTTATTTCTTCGATTTTTTTCGAACAAAACCATAACCAAACCAATGACTATCGGTTCTTAATAATCTAAAACCAAACCAAACCAAAACCCAAATTAAATCGGTTCATTTAATCGGTTTGGTTTGATTTTTCGGTTTGGATCGGTTTTTATCCAAACCATGAACACCCCTAACTATAATTATGAAATTAGTGGGATAGTTTTAATAAATTACTTAGTTGGTGGTTAAATAAAATAACATAAAATTAATAGTGGGTCACTTTTACTATTTTTATAATTGATCTTGTATAACAATTAGGGTTATAAACAATCAGTAGAAGAAAAAAAAAAGAAAATTGAAGAGACGCAGTCGGAGAACAAGATTGAAACGACGGCTAAAGGTATTTCATGAATTTTTCTTTACTTTGCAAAAAGATGAATAGATGATAATGTAGGAAAGTTATAATAACATGTTAGTGTAGGAATTATTATATTATAGTGTTGAAATTGAATGGAGTTAGGGTTGGTGTCAGCGAGGTAATCAGCTTAATGATGGATCGAGCAGTTAATTAGTTATTATAAGGTTAATTGTTAAAAAGAAAGAGGCGAACACGTGAATATGTATTAACAGATGAGGGTTCATATTGTTGTAGCTGGGCCGCTGGAATTGAAGTGAAACTATTGAATTTCCTTTGGTTAGAATGCTAGTCTTAAGATTTGGGGGAGACAAATAGTGGTGGGTAATAATTGCCATGATGATTGGCAATGATGAGATAATGATAACCTAAAGATTTGATTATTATAGAATATGCCAAATTCAATTCAGGATATAAATCATGTATCCTAGTTACTGATATTAACGTGGTGACCTTTGATGTTCGCGATTCTGTTTATATGTTATCACATTATAATCTAGGTTGTAACTTATTGAGATAGATAATTAAATATAGAGTGTATTATATTATTTGAATATTATTAAGGTTATGTTATTGAGAGAAATTAAGGTTTATCCTTAGGCTTGAACATTAGGAAAAATTGATTATAGAATTGGGTGAATTTTCAGGTTTAGGCTAGACATATAGTAACATGGGTGTCTATAGACTCGTTAACTTACAAATTATGTATATATAATTGATAGTTTGGAAAAGTTTGGAGGCATTGAGGAAAGGAAAAGCATTGGAGAACTAGCTTGCTTGACTTCGAATCTTCGGTGGAGGTAGGTTATGGTTTATTCTATTTCGATAGTTAGACTCTTAATAGTGACTGATATGTATTGAGTGATATTGTGAAGTTCTCTATGTACTTGATTGTGTGGTTTGATTGTATGGTTTGTGATTGGTCTAAAATCATGAGACTGTGAAATTTATAATCTGAAACTCTCTCTATCGAAGTGATGCCTTGAATAAAGAAGGCTTGATGAAATAAATTAATGATATTATTGGATCGGAGTGTCACGTTCCGACACGGTATAATTGGATCGGAGTGTCACGTTCCGACACGGTATAATTGGATCGGAGTGTCACGTTCCGACATGGTATAATTGGATCGGAGTGTCACGTTCCGACACGGTATAATTGGATCGGAGTGTCACGTTCCGACACGGTATAATTGGATCGGAGTGTCACGTTCCGACACGGTATAATTGGATCGGAGTGTCACGTTCCGACATGGTATAATTGGATCGGAGTGTCACGTTCCGACACGGTATTATTGGATCGGAGTGTCACGTTCCGACACGGTATTATTGGATCGAAGTGTCACGTTCCGACACGGTAACATTAAAGGAAAAAGATATTGAATTAACTTAATGTACTCAATCTCAAAGAACTCAATTCCCAAATTAGTTTGGTTTGGAGGCATGAGTCATGTGTGATCTTGATATTGTTGACTGATTACATACTTACTTTAGTGTTGTTGACACTGGTTCATGTGTTTGTTGCTTGCCACCTGCTAAGTGTCATAGTTGATTTTATACTATTATTCATTACATATTAGTTTCTCTTTTGGGTTGGCCGGTGATATCTACTCAGTACTTGTTGCCCTATACTGAGCCCTACTTGTGTTTTTCTTTGTTTTCTTTTTGTTGGAGTGCAGCGAGTGTATCAGTGACTTCGACTTGCCCTCAGCTCTAGCCAGTCTCCAGCACATCAGGTTCCAGGGTGAACTATTCATTCTAGCTCGTGTTGGATTCTCTTGGTCATGGCATGATGTCTTTAGTTTTCGGACATAAACTATTTAATTCATTTATTTTGGTGTCTTTAATACTCTTAGACTTAGTATTTGAAGATTAGATGTCCTTGATGTGATGACTTTTAGGTTTTGGGGATAATGTGTAATAGACTTTAGAGGTTGTTTTGATTGGTTACTTTAATAAGTTTTGAGCTTCCGCATTATGGTTTGTATTTCGTAAGTTTAACAAGTAATATATATTGGGGTTTGGATTCATTGATTCGCCCACCTAGGAGGTTAAGTGTGGGTACCACTCATGACTCGTTTTGGGTCGTGACAGTCCACAATTATTAGGGATACAAGAAACTTTTGGCCTTTCCTCTGCACGTTTTCTTTTTTCTTTGAAGCAATACCAATTATTAAAAAAAATAAACACTTACTGCAAACAAATAAACAATCAATTAAATAACAATGAATTGTCGATAAATGATATCTTTGTAATAATATTTGAAAGATGAAAGTAATTCAAACGTGGGTTGAATATAATGATTCATTAAAATGACTTGAAAATGATCACTAAAAAGTCTTAAATTGTGAATATAAAAAAAATAAACAAAGAAGTGAGGATAAATTATTATTTTACTAGTGAGAAGATAAAACAATCTTTTGTTTATGGTAAGCGGTCTACCTTTCCCCTTACTAGATCAAATAGGAAAATTCAAACAAAAAAGTACAGGAAAGGAAACCTTATTCGATGACCATCGTATTTTGTATATTTGTAATTAAATATTTAATAGGAGGTTATTAGTAATTAATATTTAATTAATTAGATGTTTTATAATATTTTGATTTATAGCAGAAGCAAAATTGTAATTTAACTTTGAAGATAGGAAATTCCCGCTTTTAGTATAATATTATTATATGCACACACCCGTAAAGAAATCTTAATAGCTTAATTCGTTAGTTATTTGAATTTTGATCTTGCTGGTGAGAATTCAATTCTCCATTTTGTAATCCCCCACCCTCCAACTCCATCAGCCCTTTCCTTACCCCCAATTTTATTTATTTTAAAAATAAAAAAAAATCAAAAATTAATCTCTGTCCTACCAAACACATTTGTGTCGTCAGTTATTTTTTATGGAAAATTGTATGTTATAGCAAACTAAAAATTCAAAATAAATGTTATAGCTACAGTTTCATTTATTTCAATTCGCACCAAACTTCTTGCCATTCCCCTCTCTCCCATCTCTCTGGAATCTCACCCATCACTCTCCTCTTTTTGAGTCTCTCTCACTTAATACAAACATAAATGTATAATTTGTGTTTTGTGTTTGTATAAAGCGAGAGAGATTGTATATACAAATGCATATACATATCTCTCCGTCATTTTACATTTGTAATTATACAAACACAAATCCTACCCTGCCCAGTCCTCTCTCTGTCTCTCTCTTTATACAAACACAAATTATACAAATACAATGTATAATTTGTGTTTGTATAAAGCGAGAGAGAGATTTGATATACAAATACAAATGTATTAACTTGATTCAATTGTATATGAATTCAAATTTTATGCAGATATACAAACACAATCATTGATACATATACATAGTAGTTACATATATACAATTATCTAACTAATATACATATATAATTCACCTCTCTCCACTCTCAGCCCTCTCCCGCTCGCCTTTCTCCTCTCTCTCCCAATCTCGCTTGCCACTCTAACCTAACACAGAGAACATTTACATATACAAACGCAATTTTCATAGGCATAGACGAATCCGCGATTTATACAAATCAAATGTTCCATAGCAAACATAATTTGACTATGGAGCGCAAATAACAAAACAGTAGCTATAGAGCACTAATATAATTTTTATCTTTGTTATTCTTAATATTTATTCTATTTTTTATGACACAAGTAGTATAAGATAGGGAGTAGGCATTTAATTTTGGAGACGAATAATTTGTTAGTTATTTTTAACGTAAGATATGGCATCGTTGTGTAAATTAAAAAAAGATGTCCAAGACCTATGTATGACACTTTTTTTCCCCACCAAAATCAAGCAAACAACAAAGATGAATACAATTAGTATTTTATTTTTCTTTGTTGCTCAAGAGTAGTTTGTAAGGTCTCTAGTGATTTGAGATAACGAAGCAAGGAAATAGCAGTTGGAGAGAAGTAATTGATACATGAGTAACTCATTCATTGACACCGACAGTGCTTGTGAGGTCAAATTTGGAGATGGTAGATCTCAGATTTCGAGCTCCATTAAAGTTATCAATAACACCTACAGATGGTGTCAGTACAGGGCACATCGCATTCAATTCCAATGCAAAGCATTTATAAGAACCAACCAATTGTTATTGAAGCAGGATCTCATCCAAAATATCTCATTTCACAGCTTTACTTCTGTTTATGAATTGTTTCAACTCATCACACAGAGTGCAAGGACATAAGCGTTGAATATTTGGCATCCAGATCAACAATATTTTTATTATCATGCGATGCAAGGTCTACATCAACTAAATCTAGTACGAATACAAACTCTCTAACAGTAGTAGATATCCATGAACTCGAAAGAAGGTACTAATATTAAAATTTACACTATACTATAGTTATCCAGAAACTACAACAGACGAGACAAAACCATACCTTAAATAGAAAATCTCAAGCTACCAAATACTCCGTCATCTCAAAATGGCACGCTCTTAGAAGTTGAGCTTGATGTGAAGGTCTTCAAATGATCAGAAGGAACAAATTCATGGGGTAGATTAGCCCTTTTCACTATCCTCTTCATGTTATTCTGCAGGCTCTGCTGGACTAATTGCTTCACTGCTTTTTTCTCTTGACTCATCATATCATCCTCCATCCCATCTTTCAATTCAACACTCGAACAATATGTTGTACAATCTTGTGGGGCAGATATCGTGGTGCTCATACCACCATAATTATCAGAAACTTGCTTTCCTTTGTCCACCCTCAAGCATTCCAAGATTCTCGATGCCCGCTTCTGAGCCAATGTGCTTCCTAGAAGGGTCAATTCAAGCAGGGCTGAAGCAACTCCAGCCTCAATCATTGCCTGTCTATCTCCATACGACTTGTGAGCCATCACCATCAAAATATAGGATGCTTTCTCTTGGCAACCTGGTGCATCTGTCCAACTCACAACATCAACCAACATGGGGAATGCATCTGGTACACTACTAATTGCCTTTCGGGCCTCTGCTACTGATACTAAATTGCAAAGAATGGACAGAAATCTCTCGCTTACATCCATATCTCCCAGTTTGTTCATGATAAAGGCTATTAGATCACTCTCAAGTATGGGGATAACATTCAAAGGCGAGATGCTAAGGTTGTAAAGCGCTCTCAACGAATCTTGTCGAGCTTGACAACTGTTTGTGTTGTCCAAATTCTTCACCAGGAATGGAATTGCTCCAGATGAACCAATTATGGGTTTATTGGAGTCCAAAGCACTCAACCCAAGAAAATTAGCAACTACAGCTTCAGCGACTTCTGAATTTGGGAATTCATTAACCAGCTTGAGCATCTTATGAATAGCCCCTGCCTTAACGATGGCTGCTTTATTTCTACAGAAGGATTGCAAAAATTATTATCTACTCAGATCCTACTAGGCTAGAATAAGGCAACTAAACGAAAATAAATAAACAAACTTACGCATCATTGCCAATTGCAAGGTTAAGCAGAGCATAGAGAGCAGCGATCTGAGAAATGGAATCTTCTGAATCAAGCAGCGCCATAAGTGGTGGAATCGCTCCGAGCAAAGCTAGGGTGGTTCTGGCGTCGGAAACCTCTTTGGTAAGTCGCCGGACCTCCTTCGCTCCTTCCAAAACATTGCTACTCTGTAAGCGCTTGACTACTCTCTTCAACTCCTCCAACATTTGCACCTTTTGCCGTACATCCTCCTCGTTCTCAGACGACTCGGACAGCCTCAAGAGCTCCGACAACCTGTCGGATCCGGCAGGTTTCTTGTGTTCACATTCAGATCTTACATCAATGGGACCAACAGGTCTGGGCGGCTGATCGGGAGGAGACTTGGAAGAAGGCTTGTGACTTCTGCCGCCACATCGGACGGCATCGAGGATCATGCGGCGGAAGGATGCGCGAGAAAAAGTAGACCAGAGCTTGAAGTGATCAGGTCCGGTAGTGGAAACAGGAGGGTCGAGGACTACCGATGCGACATCGTTCCGGCGATGGCACTTACCCATTGTGTTTAATATCCGGCCAGACGGCAATGCTGCATTACAGAGAGGATGGAGGCGCGTGTATCTATTTTCTCCGACTAAACAAACTTCGAAGCAGCAGTAGAAGAGTGAGCTGTTGAGCACTAGTTTTGGTGTTGGAAGTTGGGTATGCTCAAGGAGTGGAGAGCTCTTGTGCTAGGGAGACTACTAATTAATACTATTTATGTTTATATATATTCAATCATTATTAAAAATCAAAGGGGGAGAAAGGGGGACAGGGATAGTGACAGTGTGGAGGAAAGTAATAATAATAATAATGCCGGAAACAAAGAGGCCCGCCTAAAAATGTCATTTCGCAAAGTTTAACCAAAATATCACCTAAAAATGTCATTTCGCAAAGTTTGACCAAAATATCACCTAAAAGTAAAGACGTTTTTGGCCAAAAATAATCAGATTGCATTCTTAAACTATTATTCTCAGTAGAAAACATATTTCCAATTTTCCCTTCGTATTTATTATTTTGAGATACGTCAAAACTATTATTGTAAACTTTTTCGATAATTGACTTTCGCATTATGTAAAAAAAATTAAGTTGATAATTGTTTGTCATTTATTTCACATGTGATTTAATATTAAAAAAAATTAACAGATGAAATATGTTTCTTCTCAATTGAGTCTGCTAGAAGGGTTGTTTGTTGGAGAGTTCCTCTACTAATAATAGAGAATGCAACTCCAATGCGAGATATAATCAGAATATTGATCGATTCAATATCAGATTGCCCCAAAAAATTATTGAACTAAATACAGTTGGCTTTCAAAAAGGTGAAGATAAGCTCCAACTTATTTCTGTTGGTAAATGAGAAAAAGAGTA